GCAGCTCAGAGCCCTGGCGGGGAGGCACGTGCATGGAAGCCCAAGGCTCGGGAATTTGCCAGGATAGCCCTGGGAGCTAGAGGAACCCAGAGGGAGGGCATTCTGGTCAGGGAAGGATGTCTGGGGAGATGGCATGTTCCGAGTCTTGAAAGACAGAGGAATTGGCCAAGAGGATTCTGGGACTCCGGGGAGGAGGATGGTGAGTTCTGGGCAGGCAGAGGTAATCTTGCTCCATGGCCTCCAGCGACTGCCTGGCTGCCCTGTGCTCTTTGGTGGTCACTCCTGGGCACACAGATCTCGGGGCACCTGTGCTCAGATTAGGCCCATAGACCCCTAACCCTGGCTGGCTGTCCCGCAGTGCTGCTTGAGGTCTCCTGCCTGCCGAGGCACGTGCCGGGCACTGCCCCCAGGGACTCAGCTCTGGCCCTGGCCTCCTGGTAGAGACAGACTGCAGATCTGACGACACTCTGGCTGAGCCCTAGGCAGGCGGCTGGCCCTGTGCCCGGTACTCAGTGTCCTGAGCCCTCGGAGGCCCTGGGATGGGGTGGTCACCCCACTCTGGGGGGGACTGAGTCCCAGGCGCCACGGCAGCACCGGAGCATGGGTCTGTGTGAATCCAGAGCCTGGCCCTTTCCCATGATGCCGCCGCCTGCGTCAGCTTCTTTTGGCCAGGCTTGGGGCCTGGGGGAGACAAAGGCTGTTCTGAAGGAGGTCTCTTAGGTGTCATTAGTTGGTTTGGGGACTCGGGTATCCCCTTCCGGTGGGGCAGCTATCGTGAAGATTTGTATAGGCGGGGCCGCTGGCTCAGGGGATTCTGAGACCCAGCCCCTCATTTCAGGTGTGCCTTTCACGGGTGGTGAGGACACGGGCAGTGTGTGCTGAGATGCAGGTGTCAGGAGGCCTCACTAACCTATGAGGCAGGTAGGGGAGTTCTGTTGTCACGTTAGTAGGGTCAGCAGCCCTGTCGTAGGAGCAGAGAGAGCCGTTGCCTCACCCCACTGTGCAGCCAGCCAGCAGAGCTTGGGGTGAGGGGCTGGCGGGGAGGGCCCTGGGCTGCTCCTGGGCCCGCCTTGGCGGGCTTTCCCTGGCTCCGTCTGCCTGGTCTCTGGGCTCTCTCATGCCAAATGAGGAGTCCCGTGTGGGCAGCCTGGCAATGAATGTTGCTGGGGACCCAAAGACGCATCAGACGTGGCCCCAGCCTTGAGGCTCAGGGTCAGGCCGGCCAGAAAGTTGTGGCCCCGTGGGGCTCTGTGTGCAGGGTCTGCTGGGAGGTCGCAGTCCTCCGGGGCTGCGTGGGGGACACGCAGGGGTGAGTAAGCCAGGGAGATCCTCCCAGGGACATAGGCTGCATCTGTAATCGTGGAAATAAGGGGAGCAGGTGCCCCTGTCCTCGGTGGAAGAGGAAGAAGTGCCTTGGAGTCTGGCCCACTGGTTTCATCTTGGCCCTTCTGCCCTGTGGCTCTGTGGCGTTGGGTCAGCCAGTGAACTTGTCTGAACTGGGCTTTAGACTCCTGGTTCACACTTACTAGGCAGTACTGGGCACCTGGCTCCTTGTGGAGCGCGTCATCTCGTCTGATCTTGACGCTAAGCCCACGAAGAGGAGACACAGGGTGAAGCACCTGCCCTAGGCTGGTGGGTGGTGAGGCCGATCCCGACCCTGGCAGCCTGCCCTCCTGCCCAGAGAGGACGGCCTCTCGTCTCTTGGTGGTGGGGGGGATCAAGATTATGTTCCTGCTGCACCCTGTGTGCAGTCTGCAGTGTGTAGCCTGTGCTTGATGAATGCGAGCTGGCCAGTTTTTTAAAAAAGTAATTATTTATTTTTGGCTGCATTGGGTCTTTGTTGCTGCGTGCGGGCCTTCTCTAGTTGCGGTGAGCGGAGGTTACTCTTCGTTGTGGTGCGCGGGCTTCTCACTGTGGTGGCTTCTCTTGTTGCAGAGCACAGGCTCTAGGCACACGGGCTTCAGTAGTTGTGCCACGTGGGCTCAATAGTTGTGGCTCACGGGCTCTAGAGTGCAGGCTCAGTAGTTGTCGCGCACAGGCTTAGTTGCTCCGCAGCATGTGGGATCTTCCCGGACCAGGGCTTGAACCTGTGTCCCCTGCACTGGCAGGCAGATTCTTAACCACTGCACCACCAGGGAAGTCCTGCAAACTGGTCTTATTTGATAAGAGGGGACAGTTGAGCTGAGGGAAGGGAGAAGTCTGGGAAGGATTTCCGGAGGAGGTGCTGTTTTTGCTGGGCTCTGGTAGCAGATCTACAGGGGGAAGGCGGGTGGGCAAGGTGGAAGGAAGCACCGTGCAGATCGCACAGATGGCCAGGTTGGGAGAGTCCATGCTCACCCGGAGGATGGGGAGTCTGGCCCATTGGCCTGATTGAGGGGTGACAGAACATGAGATGCCCCATAGGTGCAGTTCTGGTTTTTGTTTTTGTCCTGAAGAGTATTTTGTTTGTTTAAACAATTTTCAGTTGCTCACCAACATTTAAGAATCAGGAGTGGTCACAAGTGTTTCGGAAGCTCTAGAAGCACTAGGTGGTGGCCGGTGGCTGGGACGGGGCAGAGGCTGCAGTGCTCCCCTCTACTCCTGGGTGGGCCTGCGGCCGTAACAGTAGGTCAGGGTTCTAGGAGTTCCAGAAACTTCTGCCTCTTGTGGAGCAGGTGGGGAATGGTGACTGGGGCTGTGCATGTCTACCCTGAGCTCACTCTTTTCTGAGCCAGCCCGGCCCTGCTGGGCCCCTGGGAAGGGCTTCAAAGGACCTGAGAGAGGCCAGGTGGGGGAAATAAAGCAGTGTAATAGACATAGCAGGAGGCAGCCTAATTGAAGGAAAGGGGGAGGAAGCAGAGAGACAGAAGGAAACTGGAGGGGTAGCCTCAGGGCCTTGCTCAACCCTGTGTGTCTAAGCATGTTGGAATCCTTGTAGGGAAGAGTGGTCTGCCCAGCTGGCCCCAGACCAGACAGAAAACATCTAAATGGTCAATCCATGGAGGAAACACGGACAGTTGCCACCAAAAAAGGTGTACAAGATCCTGATGGCATCACAGAGACGTTCCCCCAACATTCAAACCACAGGTCTGACGTGGGGAGGGCTCCCGGACCACCTTGGGGGCCCGGGGGGCCCAGACAGATGCAGAGGAGGGAACAGACCGGGTCTTCAGGCCTGGAGTGAGGGGTGAGGATGCCTACAGAAAAGGGAAGTGAGGAGGGAGCTGGATGGGAGATGTAGGGGTGTGCCTGCAGCCCTGGGGGTACTGGGGGGCACCTACCATCCAGGGAGGGCTGAAGAGGGGCTGAGGGTCTGAGGCGGCCCTGTTGAGTCGGTGGGCTGAGAGCTCCAGCCCGCTCACCTGCAGGGAGCTGGTGTGCACAGGAGCGGATGCTGGAGATGAGGAGGGCCATCCCAAACAGTGGTGGGTGGTGGCGGCCTTGGAGGGAAGTAGGCCCTGCGCGCTGGGATGTGGGCAGGGCTTGTTGGGCTAGGGATTTGACATTTGAGCAGACCCTTGAAAGGTGAGAAGGGGCCAGGCAGGTGGAGGACTGGGCCAGGCTCTCTGGAGGGAAAGAGGAGGGCTGGGCAGGAGGTGGGAGTGAGGGGCTGGAGGAGGAAGTGAGTTTGCAAGGGTGACTGGGGCCGATGGGGCCCTGCGGGACCTGCAGAGGGGTCTGGATTTTGGACTGAGTGCAGCGGACACATGTTGGAGGTGGTTCAGGCAGGGGAGTGATGTGAACTGAGCTACCTGAAAAAAAAAAAGTAACAGTTTCATTGTGATGTAATTCCCATGTTGTACAGTTCACTTACTTAAAGTATACAGTTAACGTATTCACAGGGATGTGCAACCATCACCACGCTGATTTTAGGACTTTCTCATCATCCCCTAAAAGGCTGTGTACCCACTCGTGTCCCCTGGCCCGGAGCCTCTGAGAACCACTGGTCTGTGTTCTGACTGGATTTGCCTGTCCTGGACTTTTCACGTGAGTGGAATCACACACCACGTGGTCTGTGTCTGCCAAGGTCCATCTGTGATGCGGCACTGGTCAGTGCTTCCTTTTCCTGGCTGAGTAATACTCCAGCTACAGATGGACCACGTTTGTGCGTCCATTCACCCGGTGATGGGGGTTTGGGTTGTCTCCACTTTCTGGCTGTTGTGATTTATGCTTCTGTGAACACGTGTGTATAAATTTTGGGGCGGACATGTCTTCATTTCTCTTGGGTACGTGGCCAGAAGTGGAGTTGCTGGATTATACTGTAATTCTGTGTTTAACCTTTTGAGGAGCTGCTAATCTCTTTTCCACAGTGGCTGCACCATTTCACAGTCTCAGCAGCAATGCACGAGGGTTCCAACTTCTCCACACCCTCGCCAACACTTGTGTTTTCTGTTTTTATTATGTCCGTCCCAGTGGGTGTACAGTGGGGTCCCTCTGTGGTTTTGATGAGCGTTTCCCTGAGGGCTGATGATGTTGAGCATCTTTTCATGTACTTAACAGCATGCTGTCTTTGGAGAAACCTCTCTTCTGATCCTTTGCCCGTTTTTAGTTGCTTATTTGAACTGAGTGCCTTGAAAAGATGAATTGGTCCGTGGTGTGGGGAATGGACTGTGGAGGGGTGTTGGGCAGGAGTGCAGGCCCCCGGGGGGTGGGAGTTGGGAGAGGAGGGTGGTGAGGATGGCGGGCAGGGGAGGGGGAGCGGGGAGGGAGCTCCGGGAAGGGAGGGAGCGTGTGTGCAGACGGTGGTGCTGCCTACTGTCCCCGGGGTCAAGGCTGAGAAGTAGCCACTGGATTTGGTGACCAGAAGGTTGTGGGAGTGGCGGTTGGAGGATGGCGGGGGAGGAGGTGGGGGTCACAGCTCAGCCCCGACAGTGGAGGGAAAGCAGCTGGAGAGGAGAGAGAGGGGGTGAGGGGACAAGTGAGTGGGCCCTCGGGAGGGTCTGGGGCGGGGAGGGTCTGGGGCGGAGAGCGAGAGCGAGGACGGGGGAGCAGGGAGCCGCAGGCAAGCAGAGCTGGGGGAGGAGGACGAGGTGAGATTGGCAGCAGAAGAAAGAGCTGGGTAATTGGTGGGCAGGCATCCAGAGGAGGTGGGCGGGATCTAATAACAACAATAATAACGATAATTTGTCTTGCACTTAATAGCCAGCGCTAATTGAATGGCTCAAGGCCCCAGCGGGGGCGTGTCTTCGTCTCTGCAGAGCGGGGGTCTGAGCAGGGTGAGGCTGGGCCGGTACTGTTGAGCGTTTGGGGGGCCGGGGGAGAGTAGGACCCTCTGCTTTTGGCCTCCGGGGCCATCAGAGTCCACAGTCAGGCTGGCTGCAGGAATTGCCCCTTCTCCCCCAGAGAGCCGCCCGGGTCCTGAGAGCAGCTAGCTTAGGGGCTGCCCGAGGCCCTCAGCTCTGGCCGTTCCCCTCTGAGGTCCTGGGGCAGGACCCCAAGCCCCCCGGATCAGGACAAGAGGGCCCAACAGCTGCTTGAGTGGATGAGCGCATGAGTGACTGGCTGGACGGGGGAGGGAGGGACCTGGGTAGGATGGTTTAGTGACCGCCCTCGGCTCTTCACCAGGATTGCGGTTGGTCCCCCAGCACGCGCTTCCTGACCTCTCACTCAGCTCCAGGGGTACCTGCTGGTCCCTGTTGCACGGGGGCGGCAGCCGAGGCCCAGAGAGGCTGAGCCGCATGTGCAGGGTCACAGAGTGGAGTGGCCGAGGCACCGGGCTCCAGCCTCCGTGCCAGGAGCCAGGGCAGCACTGCCGCCGGGGCCTTTTCCGCGGAGACAGAGGAGACGCCGGGGTGTTCTCACCTCGTGGCTGGTTTTCAGTCTCCCTGGTGGGTGGTGTAACCTCCCTCTGCTCAGGGCTGAAACCGAAATGCAGAGCGGACTGTCCCCGAGTCCCCAGGTGTGCCCTGCGCCAGGCACCCCTGACCAGCAGCGCCAGTGGGAGCCCCTGCCGACCCCCCAGAAGTCAGCGAGAGAAGCTGCATCTTTCTAGGGCCTCGTAGTAAAGTTCTGCCTAGTCAGGGCTTCCTGCCGTGTCTGGAGTACCATGCAGACGCCTGGCTGGGCCTGCACGGCCCTGCTCTGTCCCCTCTGCCTCTAGTGCCTCATCTACTACCCCAGGGCAGGGCTGGCTCCGTCGTTTTCAGGGCCTGGCATGAAATGAATAGGTGAGCCCCTTGGGCAAAAAGCAAGAAAAAAGCTTTTCCCTTTCTTCCGAGGTCTCTCAGCCTGTCAGGGTGTTTTTAACTTGGTATTTCCTGTCGCACTCCCCCAGGTACAGGGTTGCCCTCGGGGTGCAGGCCTGGCTCCTGCCCAGGCCCCCGTAGGACCTCCTGTGCAAAACACAGATCCCGAGATAAGATTAGCAGTAGTCTCAGGGTGGCGACCACAGAGTATTGACCCCCATGCGCAGGGCTCCCTCACCACTGGTGGCCCTGCTGTGGCCCCTGCAGGCACCCCACCTGCCCCTTCCCGCCCTCCATTCCACATCCAGGGCTCAGCCTCCCTCAGGCCCACCTATCCTGTCCCAGCCAGGCCTTTCCTGTGTGTCTGCTTGGCCTGGGACGCTTTCCCCTAAATCCTGGCATCCGTCATTCCTTCGCATCTGGGTCGGCAAACTCTCCTTAATGAGCCAGAGAGTAAACGTTTGAGGGCTTACAGACCAAGAGGCCATGTTGAGGGTATATGTTGACACCTACATACCAGTTAACATGTGACCATTTAAACCCCGTGAGAACCGTTCTTGGTTGGAGGGCAGCTTCCAGGAGGGTCATTGTGTACGGACCCTCCCTTACGTTACCCCGTCTTGGCTCCAGTCTGGCCCATGGAGGGGCCTTTGGCAGTCTGTAGGGGGTGTAGGATTTTCCTCTGCCCTCCTAGGGCTTCCGGCTGGACTGACTAAGGCGGATTAACAGGAGAAAAGCATACGAATTTTACTTCCGTGAGCTTGGGAGCCCTCAGGAGAAAATCGCCGGAGTGCTTCTTATACACCAGGGTGAGCAGGTGCCATGGTGGGGAGTAACCGCGGGACCCGGGGGAATGCAGGAAGGAAGGTCATTTTAGCAGATCTCTCTCGGGATGTTTCTTCTTCCTGGAGCCGGGAGGGCACTTTCATGTGCCTCCTGCTTTCGGGGGAGAAGGTGCGTTCAGAGCGTCCTTGTTGCACCTGCTGTTTTCCGACTGCCCTGAATTCGGGGTCATCAGTGTGGTAAAGCAGCCTATCAAGGTGGAAGTTCTGCATCTCACGTCCTGGTTCAAGAGCAGCCCCTTCCCCTCCATGCCCAGCCTCACTTTCCTGCTGGCTCTTCCCACCATGGAAATCGGGGTGTTGGTTCCCTCACTGCCTTGTTCTGGGCAGCGTGGCTCCCGGTGCTCAGTAAGCACCTCTGGGTGCAGGGAAATCTCTGGTGCAGGGCTGGCCGCTGTCACCTCCCTGTCCTCCGTCCCTTCCCCCAGAGCCTGTGGGTTCCCTGGAAGGAGGATGGAGGCCAGCCCAGGCCTTGTCGCTGCAGGAAGCTGGCCTGAGGTGGACGCTCGAGGCCGGGAAGTCCCTGCTTTATTGACTTAGACGTGATTGTTCCAGTGGCAGCACGTGATAACCGCCTGGCAAACGAGTTTCAACCCAGAAGCCACAGAGGAGCGGCCTCTGTCCGTCCCACCTCCTCAGCCCCCGAGCCCTTGGCCTCTCTTCCTTTTCTTTCTCTTGTGTGTTTCTGTTGTTGCTGGGGTTTGAATAAGAAGGCCCGTACGAATTCTTAGGTCTTTTTACCTTTTAATTGAGATGTAAGTCACATATTGGAAAGTTCGCCCTCGTAAAGTGTACAATTTAGTGGTTTTTAATACAGCCACAGAGTTGCGCAACCGTCACCACTGTCTGATTCCAGAACATTTTCATCGCTCCAAAAAACCCCGTGCCAGTGCGCGACCCCTCCCCGTCCCACCCCCAGGCTGGCAGCCGCTTATCTCAGCCTGGACGGTTCACATCCCGGAGCCGCGCTCTGAGTGGCCTTGTGTGCTGGCTGCTTCCCCGGGCGTTGGAGTTGTCACCCCTTGTTGGCTGTCACGCACAGCACTGCTGTGAATAACACTTAGGAGTGGGGTCCTGGGGTCACACAGTGACTTCGTCATTATCAGGACGTGCCAGGCTCTCTTCACAGCGGCTGCCCTACTGGCACACCCGCCCGCCGTGCAGTTTTCACGTTTACCTGTGATCTGAGGGCCCGCACAGTTCTCTCTCCCCAACACCCCGATTTCCCTGTTGTGATACATAGGCCTTGTCACCAGAAAGAAGCCAACCTTTAGTCTTTTCCCCTCGTTACACAAGTAATTATCCATTAATGTAAAAAAAATTGAGAAGGTGAAGGTAAAGGAGAAGAAAATGTTAAGATGGCTCTTACTGTTATTGGCCGGGGGGGCGGGGGCGGGGCGGCCACTTTACAGCGTTGTTTCAGAGGCTGTGAGATGTCCGTAGACCCGCTTCCCATGGTCTGTGATCTTATTACACTTTCTCCCACCACGGGGCTGGCGGGTTCTTTCCGGTTCTTACCCTGTTCTAAATCTTGCTGTGGCAAACCCTGCAGGAAGCATTTTCCGAGGTTTGGGTTTTCCCCGCAGATTAGCTTATGAAGTGGGCTTCCCCGGGCAGGGGCCGTGAGCTCCACAGCGGCATCACCTGACTGGGCCCTCGTCAACCGGATTGTGCATGTTGTACCCGGCTCTCGGCCCGCTAGGGGCTGGGGCCCGATGGGTCCGAGGGCCGGTCTGTCCTTCCGGTATGGGTCTCACCACTTCCTGCAGTGGGTCCTAGAAGGGGGGTGGTCGTGGGGGTCGGATTTGGGGTGCACTGTGTTCTGTCCCTCGAGCCTCTGCTCTGTTAGTTGGCCTGTCACCCACCTGTTGGCAGCACATGTCTGTGCCTGGCACTGTCGTGGGGCCCCCGGAGGGTCTCGGCAGGGCCCTGGAGGCCGGGTACATCCCCTGCCCTGTGACCTGCAGCGAGGCCATGGGCCCAGGAGGGAGGCAGGGCAGCGTCCTCCTTTGTCCCCCGGCTGCCAGGGTCCTGGGAGTCGTCTCAGCCCTGAGTCCCGCACCACCAGCGCTGAGTAACTCCTGGCTGCTGTCCAGGTGCTCCCTGCTGTTGCTGCAAGGGACCCGGGATCTGGCCCCGCTGCGTTCTTGAGCCTCAGTCTCCCCGTCTGTGAAACAGGTGTTGTCATAGTGCCCCCCCTTGGAGAGACCCTGCATTTCACACGGTTCCCCAGGCCTCCGCCTGGCCTTCCAGGCCCTGTAGGAGAATCTGCCCGCCCTGCCTCACAGCCTCCTTGCTGACCCCGGGCCTTTGCACCCACTGTCCCTGCTGCCTGCATCCCTCTCCCTCCACACTGCTTGTTCATCTCAGGCCTGCTCCTGCTCCCAGCCCCTCTGTGTGTGTCATGGCACTTGCATTGTCTGAAATCACCTTTCCTTTCCTGTGCTCATTGGTTTTCTGTCTCCTGGACTGGCAGGGACCTCCCCATGAGGCAGGGGCCGCAGCCTGTTTACCACAGTGTTCTCCGGTGGGGGAGGGGGGTGACTGGGACAGGTGGGGAGAAGAGAGTTAATTACATCAGTGTCTCAGGAGATGCGCACAGCACACCCCCAGCCTGTGGAGCCTCTAACACTCCCGCCTTATCTTCTCGTCAGGCCCAGATGCAGTTGGGCTCAGATACAGTGACGGGAAGCTGCCTTGGTTTTGTCATCAACCCTGCCGTGGCCTCCAACCAGAGCTTGTCTGCCTCACCACCGGCCTCACGTCTCGCCACTGGCTCCATTCCCATGAGCTGCCTGGTTCAGGCTCCCACCTTCTCGTCAGGTTTCCGCAATTCTTGCGTGCTTGGTGGGGGTGTCTCCCTCTTCGTGTCCCAACGGTCTGCTCACTGCCGGGTCCAGGGGGTGCTTGGGCATCTCCGCCCAGAGGTGGCCCAGGCCCCGACAGGCCTCTTTGAGGGGCGTCTCCCTCCCTGGCCTCCTGGCTTGTCCTGCCCTTGGATTGCGCCCCTGCTCTTAGAGTCCTTGTGACCATTTGTTGAGCGTCAGGATGGCGGAGCGGGTGAGCCATGCGGCCTGTGTCCCTTCTCTGCTCCTGGGCGCTTCCACCTCTGTGCCCTGACCCCGGGGGGGTGGGGGGGGTGGTCACGTGGGGCACTTGGGCGCAGGTTAATGTAGGGCTGCGTCTGACTGTGGGACCTGGGCCCGCCTTCCCTTCTGGCCCGCGAGCTCTGCGGCAGGCCTGGCCTCTCCGGTTACTGCCCGTCTCCTGGTCTCAGGACTCCGTGAGTGAGCGCTCGGGAGAGCCAGGCCCAGACCCTGAGCGGCAGCTCCGTTGGTTCTGGGCACAGACTTGGAGCCGGGACGGTCTGCCTTCACGTCCCGGCTCTGCCGCCCCTGCCTCGGAATCCTCACGGCTGGGGGTGACGGTCACATCTGCCCAGAGGGTTGCATCAACCACTGAGAACAGTACCTGGGGGCTTGTGAGCGACTTGCTCGGCACAGCCGCATGTGTTTATTGCTTAACTAAACCGGCCGGTTAAACGGGCCAGTTCTTAGAGCTTCTGGCAGATGTCAGCAGAGGTTACTGAGGGGCGGGCCATGGAACGGGCTCCTTTCAGTGCCTGGATAGTGGTGAGCCCCTTGTTACTGGGGGATTCAAGAGAAATGGGTCAGGCTTGTTGTGCCAGGGTGTGTGATGCTTGGGGCTGGATGGCTCCGTTCCCAGATGCCAGTTCCCCCAACTGGAGTGGGGGACAGAAGGACTGTGTGGGGAGAGGTTCTCTGAGCTGCGTGCATGCAGACAGACGGGCCTTGGTTTGCACCTGAAGGGGCCTGAACACGAGAGGAGGAACCGAGGCGCCGCCCCGGGTCCCAGTCGGTGTGCCCCTTCTTGTCAGAAGGCCTGCCTGCCTGCCAGCGTCCTGCTGGGGAGGGATGTCACACCAAGGAGCAGGGCCCAGAGGGGACCGGAATGCCGTGGCCCCAGTACTAGGCTCCGCTGCTGGGGCTGGGTGCCTGCCCACACCTCCCCGCCCTGCACACTGAGTCCAAGATGCAGGCACAGCAGCCTGGAGCCCAGGCCTGGCAGCTCCTGCCCTGCCCACCCTGCAGGGGCCAGAGCGGGAAGGGGAGGAAGGCTGAGCTGTGCGCCCCAAGGGCCAGGCTCTGCCGTGGCGTTGCCCCGGGCAGCGGCGGGGAGTGGAAGTGTGGGCTCTGGAGGCAGGCCACATGGTATGTGAGGGACGTGCACGCCAGTGTCCGCAGCAGCTGTGCTCACTTTAGCCAAAGGGGAAACACCCAGGCTCTGTCTGTCACCCAAAGAACAGAGGAACAAACAACACGTGGTCTGCCCCTGCAGGGGAGCATTACTCAGCCGTGAAAAGGAAGGAAATTTTGACACGCTGCTCCGTGGGTGAGCCTTGAGAGCGTGCCACTCAGCGAGAGAAGCCAGACGCCAGAGGCCACGTGCTGTGTGATGCCCATTCATAAGAAACGTCCAGGGTTAGGGCGAGTGGTGGCCAGGGGCTGGGACCAGAGCGGCCGGCGCTCCTCCCGTGCAGGTCCCCGGAGGGTCCATCGTCGCTGTGTCCAGGCCTGGTGTGGAGTTTTGCTTGGCTGGCCCATGTCTGGAAGCAGACCTCAGACTGTGAGCTGCTCAGACGCTCAGTGCCCATGTCACCTGTCTCCCTGTCACACACTGTCACGTCTCAGTGGGGTTTGCCTCATCCTGGTCCAGGGAGAGGCCTTAGGACGGGCCTGACAGGGGAGCCCTTCTGGCCTTGATTGGTGGGATGGGCCCTGGCCTGGAGTGGATTTAGGGTTCCCTTGCTTGGGGTGAGAGCTCCGTCTGTACTTGTCTCGCGTAGACTTCACGACCCATGTGTCGGGCCGTCCATCTTCCTGGTGAGGAAACCGAGTGGGGGGGTGGAGGGGGTCTCTTGCCCCAGCCCCAGCTGGTCAGCGGTGGAGCTGGGATGCTAGCCCCGGCCAGGTGGCCGCAGCCGGAACACTTTCTCCTCACCCAGGTTGCATGTGGCCTCGGGCCGGACCCCTGTCCAGTGGGGGAGCAGAGGGCCATCTCTCCCTTGGCCCTTAGGTCCCTGCCGCCATGCACCTCTTGTCTGCTGGGCCTGAGCCGGGCAATTGGAGCCCACATAGCACCTGTCCCCCCACCCCGGGGCCCTCTGTCCAGTCTGGCGTCCTGTAAACTCTGTCCTCTGTCTCGTCCCCTTCTAACAGGGACCCAGACATGGAGCTGCGGGAAGAGGCGTGGTCTCCGGGGCCGTTGGATTCTGAGGACCAGCAGATGGCCAGCCATGAGAACCCAGGTGAGGCGGCCTTGGGGAGTTCTTCCCAGCTGGTCCCTCACCCTTCCCTGGACCCTCGCTTCCTTTGTCTCCCCTTCCCCTCCCGTGGCTCGGGGCTCACCATCCTTCCTCTGGGGGCTCAGCCAGGCTGCCTCCCGGGCCTGTGTGGATTCTCCGAGTTCCCTCCCAGCTGGGAGCCCCTGGGGGCTGCCCCCTCCCCTCGCTGGGTGCTTGGCACCGTTTCTAGGTGGCCCCTTGGACCTCCTGGGCGGGATGCTCTTTAGACCAGGGTGGCAGGCCCACATACCAGTGGGCCAGGACGTGGAGAGCTGGGGACAAACTGTGATGTGTGGGGAGCGGCAGGCTCACAGAGCAGGGCCAGTGACCATCCTGGGGGACAGCTGGGTGTCTGGGTTTTTATGGGGCTTGTATCTTTCTGGGGTTTTATCTGTCACAAACATATTGGCCACATGTTTTGTTTGACAAAGCGTTATTTGGGTTGAATAAAACTCATCTTTGAGCCCTCGGGGACTAGGCTTTGCTTGCTGAGACCCCACCTGGCTCCGCTGGCCCCTTCACGGCCTCACCCCTTGCCCTCTGGTGAAGATGTGCTCCCCGTTTCCAGGGGTTTTCATGCAGGGCACCTGAGAAATAAAGTATGAGCTCTTTTTCATGCTGCTTTTGATGCGTCTTCATGCGGGCGTCCCGTCCTCGTGCGTTTTGGATGGGTTCAGCCAGCACTTCTTGCTGTGAGGGGCAGAGGGGAGGTGTTTTCAGCGTTGTAGGCCTTGCGCCCCTGCAGCGTGGAAGTGAATGGGCGCGACCACGTTATTTGTACAACAGGCTCTGAAGTCGTGATCCCGGTGCCAGCGTGTCGTAGTCGTCCAAGAGAGGTTACGAGGGCCTGGGCGGGCTGGGGATAGATTGCATAAAGCACTCGAGCCCCTTCGCCTGATCTAGTTCTAAGATCCACTGAGGGGGTGAGGGAAGCTCCTTGGGCTGGCTCCGGGCAGCCGTGGTTACACAGGAGGAAACAGATTTCAGGGCACATGGCACGTGGGGCGCAGACCCTCCACCACCCAGCAGGAGGGCGCACGGCCCATCCTTCCCCATTTCATGCCGCTGGGCCTGCCCCTTCCTCCTTTCCCTGTCTTTTAGCCTTTTTAAAATTAATTTTACGGTCTGTGTCATGCTGGAAATTGCAAACATCGATAGTGTGGTGATTGCGCTTCCCACTGCCTAGCCTTAGCGGTGAGCGGTACTTTGCGGTCTTTTCCCTGGTTGTGCCTGCTTTTTCTTCTGGAGAATTTTAAAGAAAATCCCAGATATTGTATCATTTCACCTACAGATTCTCCAGCAATAACAAACGCTCATCTCACCTGACGAAGCGTTGCCCAGTGTGTGAAGGTGTCCCCAGCTGTCTCCAAAATGCATGTTTGCCTTGAAGTAAGGTGGTTTTAATTTTACACTCTGTCCACTAACTCATTCTCTTGAGGAAACCTCAACAAAGCACAAGTGGGTTCTCATATCCCCTTTGTCCGGCCTGCTGTCCCCAACCCAACCCCCCACCGGAGTCTGTTGCAAGTCTGCTCCGGCCCCTCCCTGTGTGGTGCCTCCAACCGCGTGACACCCCTTCGCTCAGCTTGTAAGCCGTGTGGCCTGGATGCCTCCAAGCTGCCCTGCGTCCCCTGGTTCTGGGCCTGCCCTGTTGGGTCCTACCTCTGTGGCAGCCTCCTGTGATGGGACAGGGCCGGACCCCTGCCCTGAGACCCCCCCCCAACCCCCGGCTGATGCCTGGACGCAGGAGCAGGAGGCTTGGGCTGGCGGTAGCCCCTGTAGGCTGTTTGCCTGTTGGGTCAGGACGAGGGGTCCGTGAGCAGGGCTGTGAGCGCTTCCTGTGTGCCCCGAGCTTGAGGCCAGCCACCTTGGGCAGGCCCTCTCATGGAATCCTCACACCCTTCGAGCTCGGGGTGCTGATCAGAGGGTGCTGGGCAGAGAGAGGCCAGGCCACCGCCCAGGGTGAGGCAGCCGGGAGCCAGTGGAAGGGGCCTGGGGGCCTGGACTGTTCGTAGGCTGCAGCCAGAGTCTGTTGCGCTGCCTCACTGGCGCATTGACCCCGGCCCACCGCCTGCAGGTGCGAGAGCTGTCCAGGCTCAGCCTGGGGCCTTAGCTACAGGGTGTTCAGAAAGAGAAGCCATCCAAAAATGAATAATAAAGAGACATCCCAATTCTGAGGCGGGAAAGTCTTCAGCTGGTGTGTTGGAAATCACCCACCAGGGACAGGGTCCTGGCCTCCCGCTCTCAAGCCCGCCTCTCACGTCTCAGTGCCCTCCAGAATGACCCCGCAGAGTTCACCGCAAATGCCACGTCTGAGCCGGATGACAGCAGACCCACGTAAAAACACAGCAACTGCCTGTGGGCAAAACCCATGTTCCCGGGTCACACTGGCAGCACACCTTAGGTGCAAAGCCCCAAAATACAGCTGGATGCGGACAAGCCAGCAGCCGGGCCAGTGTGGTGTTAGCAGGGGCAGGAGGGGAGGACGCCCCAGGTAGCCCTCGGGGGTTCACCGGAGGACTTGGGGCTGGTCACGCTGCGGCCAGCAACTGAAGCTGGAGGGGTTCTGTCCAGACCAGGAGCAGGGAGCGTGGGGCTGCTGGGGCCCATGGCTTCCTTTACCCAGGTAAAGTGCCCTGCCCGGGCAGGACCCACGCAGAGCAGAGCCTGTCAGGAGGGGGTTCAGGATCGAGTGGGACCCCTGTCATTGGCCACAAGGGAGAAGGGAAGGTCCAGATAAAATCAGGGGTGGCCGCAGAGCAGGCAGCCCTGCACTCGGAAGAGGGAGCCCTGAGGAGCCAGAAACGCTGTCCAGAGTGTAGCCTCCCAGAAGTTCAGGGAGACTGACCACAGAAATGAGCGAAACTGGAAAATGGTGAGTTCGGTCCTCTTGCTTCCACCCCCAGGAAGCTATTAGAATAAAAAAGAAGAGGGGCAAATAGTATCTCCACAGACAGGGAGGGTGGTCAGAGATACACCTGCAGACAGGTCAGGATTGTTCAGAGTGGCCAGGAGATGACGGCCCCTGGAAGTGCAAGATCAGAACAGCTCAGCCCAGGGGGCAGAACTCAGCAGAGAATTAGAAATAGAGTCAAATTAATTTCAAAGTGAAGTAGGAGGAATTCAAGACTGAATAAAAATAACACATTGTTTCTTAAGAAAAATCGAAGGTGAAAAAGAGGGCCATTTTAAAATCAAAAAGAAATGAGTAAAGATTAAGGCAAAGTAAAAAAAAAACAGGTACTGAAGTTAGGTAAAGAAAGCCCTTTGAAGAAGAAATCCAAAGGAATATAATGGTAAAAACTACGAGTCCAGAAAACATTCCTGAAATGTCAAAGTTAGGTATTGAAGGAATATATCACAAATCTGAGAATATCAACTCGAATGAACAAGACATATTCTATTCAAGTCACTGGGCTTTAAAGGAAGAAGCAAATCCTTTGGGGCATCTAGGCAAAAAGAGCAAATGACTTACAAGGCAAAGTAGATGGGATTGCTGTCAGACTTTGCCAGCAATGCTTTATGCCAGGAGAAAATGGAGTCATATTTATGATTCTCAGGGGAAGAAAAGGTAGAGCTAAGGATCGTATTCAGGAAGACTGCCTTCCACGTTGGAAGGGTGCAGATGACCTCAGCCAGCAGGAGCTGAGCAAACAGGGGTGTCGTGGGGCCTTCCCGAGGAGTCTGCGGGCAAGTGAGCCTTGCGCAGCCGCCGTGGCCAGAGAGATGGGTGCTGAGTCGGGGCAGGCTCAACGAGGGCTCAGGCGGTGGAGGTCTGGCTGTGAAATCAGTGAGGGGAACAGGAATAGTTCACCTGATTTCTCAGGAATGGTACTTGGCAGTGGTGGGGGTGATTCTAACCATTCAAGTTAGAATGCTTATCTTGAAGCTGTGTGATGTGGGTTCAGCAAATAAGCAATTATGGGCTAGTCAAGTCCTCTCCTCCCCTAGTGAGGAACAGAGATGCAGATGTCCTAGAAAAGACCGCATAAAAGCCTTTTGGCCTAAATTCGTATGGGAAGTATCAGTTAGAAGTCACAGGAATTTTATCTTAAAAAAAAAAAAAAAAAAAGCGAAGATCATTTCCACATTTTGATTTTGAAATTGTTTCCCACGAAAAGAAACCAGAGTCCCTTGGAGAAACGGCCAGTTGCAGGTTTGGGGTGGGAAGTATGGATGAACCTGTAGCCCCTTGTTAGGCTGGATGGCAGAGAATCTGTCAAAGACCACCTGGGTCCCGTCCAAAGGACTCGGAGCTCACTTGAGGCTCCCACGCACTGAAGATGGCAGGCAGTGCAGCCTACCAGATATATTTAAATCCGTGATCTCCTAATGATGTTAAGAAAGGAAAGACTACGTGGTTACCTTGGAGGGTGGTAGGGAACCAGTTCGTAACTTGGAAAACTGGGCAGGTAAGGGGAAATGAGATTCATCCTGCCATAACCACATGAAATTTACCACTGGGTACCAACCAACAGATGATGTAGAGTCTCTAAAAGCTATTCCAGCTCCTAAACGCAGGAGAAACCACAGGGCAGCCCCATTTTGCACCCCTCGACAAATCAGCAGACCTAAGCGTTGAGCATCGGTGGCCCTTGATATCACAAAAAGAGAAACACGAGATATCGGGTGCCTTCAGTGAAAGAACAGGATTGCACCTTCAGAATGACTTCAGGGGCTGGCAGGGCTGGGTGAGCCAGCTGCTAACCGGCAGCAGATGCAGGGCACTAGGAGCATGCAGTCAGCAAGGGTCCAACTGGCTGTAGGGCTGCGCTTCTTCAAAAGGAAAATCGTAAGGAAAAGCAAGGGATGGAGGAAGTCGTGTCTTACAGGAGACTTAAAGACATACTGAAGTAGGGCTTCCCTGGTGGCGCAGTGGTTGAGAGTTCGCCTGCGGATGCAGGGGACGTGGGTTCATGCCCCGGTCCGGGAGGATCCCACATGCCGCAGAGCGGCTGGGCCCGTGAGCCATGGCCGTTGAGCCTGCGCGTCCGGAGCCTGTGCTTCGCGCAGCGGGAGAGGCCGCGGCGGTGAGAGGCCCGCATACCGCAAAAAAAAAAAAAAAAATACTGAAAAAGTAACGGACCGAACTGTAATGTCTGGGATGTTGCACTTGGGTGACAACCGTACAGAAATGCAAGGGAACGATTACTGCACAGGTCAGGATGGTGGTTATATTTGGGGTTGAGAGGGGGTGAGCTTGGGAAGGGCACGGAGGGACTCCCGGTGGGTGGCCAAGACCTGTATCTTGACGGGGCATTTGTCTTTCTGCATTGATTGTGGTCAGCTCTGCATTCCGGGCTCTCTGCATGTCGTGTGTTTTAGGGGAAAAAGGTTAACATTCGGTAAAGCCGCAGGTCCTGCCCTTCCCCAGAAGGTCTGCTTGGGAGGATCCACCCTGGGGCGGGAAGCTGCGTGGGCGGCAGGACCCCGCCTGGGCCCAGAGCGCAGGAGCCGGAGCTGAGCCCTCCTTCAGCGAGAGAAGGACAGTGACAGTTGCTGTGGGATGACGGGACCTGGAGCCTGGGACACCCCTCCCCTTCCCTTCGGGAATGGCGATCACTCGTCATTTCTGTGCTTTTTATTGAGTGAGCCCTTTGTGCTGGTCGATGTCCTCTCCGCTTTCCGGGAATTCTTGCATCCTTCTAAAGATGACGTTTGTGCGGCAGTGAAGTTGCCCCCATGAGGAAGGCGGCCCAGAGGGAAGCCGCTGACTTCCAGCCTGACCTGGAGGGGTGCAGACTCAGACTCTGGTGTGCGTGAGAGCCGCCCGCTGCTTGGAGAGCGCCGGTCCCTGCACCCACTCGCAGGGGGGACCAGGAATCCGAAGGTTGAGAGAGCACCCCGCCTCCCGAAGTGATTAGACCCTCTTCCATTTAACAGCTTAACACCTGCTTAAAAAGTAGTGCGTGGGGTAAACAGCACGCAGCAGCGGAGAGAAGAGTCACGTAGCCCAAGGCTACAGAGGAAGCCTGCACCCGCTGCACGCACCTCACTGCCCAGCCGGCTCCTCGGGCCTTCTCTCCCCGTTTCTGGACCTGGACGGGTGGTCGGCCCCTCGCCAACCGCCCCCCCCCCCGCATCCAGGGCCCCGGATTGAGTTACAGGTGTTTCACAAGTTCAGATGGGCTGTGTTCAGTTCCTGTCATCATGATTGTAAATACTCTTCATCGCTGAGTCAAGTGGCGTATTGTTAAACTTTCTTGACAACTTTGAAAACAAGACGTTTATTTCAATCAAAGGAGTGCAGAATACTTGCTATGTATGGGTCAGGTGGTGCGGCTCATTTCCCGCAAAGAGCAAGTCTCCTCTCCAGCCCACCCCAGTCCACCCCTGCTGCCCGGACACACTGCTCAGAGGCAGACAGCTCCCCAAGGTTCAGTTTTTTATTCTTGAATATCTCCACATAATGTGCTTATGACTCTATTTCTTTTTCTTTTTTTTGGCTGTGCCTGGTGGCTTGCGGGATCTTAGTTCCCTAACCAGGGATTGAACTGGGGCCCATGGCAGTGAAAGCATGGAGTCCTAACCACTGAACGGCCAGGGAATCCCCATGATGCCACTTCTTGATTTATGTTGACACCAAAGTGGGCCCTGTGTCACCTCTTGAAAAGCGGCCCCCACCCGGCCCAGACTTCCTACCTGGATTTTTTTTTTTCCTGCTGCATATATGATTCTATATCCCAGTACCCTTTCCAGTACAGGCGGTCTTGGGACCCAGACTACCCGTGCAGATACTGCTTTGCTGCTCCCAGGCCGTGTAGCCTTGGGCAGTGGTTCATCTTCCTGGTGCCTTGGTGTTCTCACCTGTAAAGACCCGAGTTCCATGGAGCCCACCTTACAAGACTTAAACGCATGGATGCTTATTAAGTGCATGGGACCACTGTCTCAGGACAGTTGGAGCACTTTGTTCCCGGCCAGGTGCTGGAACACAGGGATCGGGCCGCTGTCCTTGTGGGCTTGCAGGCTAGTGAGAGGGAGAGGGAAAACAATGTTTGGTAGGTTATAATGGGATTCACCTTTGAAAGACACCTTCGCGGTGCACCTAGGGGCGGGGCCAGAGGCGGGAGGGCGGGGCTGTGATCAGGGGGCGGGGCCGTGCCCCCGAGAGCGAGGCCGGAACCCAGGCAGGAGTCCGGGCTTGAGCACGTGCCCCACCTCCATTCTGTAACTCAGGCCCAAGCCGGACAGGGAAGGCAAATGTCGCCAAGGGTGCACACAGAGCAGGCCAAGCGTGCACACAGAACAGTCTCGGAGAGCTGGGCAGGCTGCGGGGAGGGGCAGGCTCTCATCTCTCCCGGGAGGCCGCCCGCTCAGGCCAGGCGCAGCGTAATTGTATGAGAGGCTTTGTTGGGCAGATGGCCCGTGGTGGTGCCCTCAGTTTGCAGACGCCGGGACCAAGGCCCCGCGCTCCTTTATTGTCTGCACTGGGCATACAGTACCTACAAACCCAGGGACCAGGGTGAGGAAGTCTGTAATAGAGGCTGCGGTGTTTGGAGTTTGCACTCCCAGTTAATGGAGGGTCAGGACTTTCATGCGGCCTGTGATCCCATTAACCAGTCCGGTGACCCCTTCCTCTCTCTCTTCTCCACCCGCAGCCAGGATTATCTTCCGAGAGCCCAGATGTGACACCATCATTTCCCGCTTGTACACCCACAGGGTGCTGCAAGCCCTTGTCCCTGGGCAAAGGTGGAAACCGCGCTGCGGCTGCCTTCCGGTCTGGCGGGGACGCGCTCTGCTGGCCCCCAGCCTGGGGCCTGGGCTTCGGGAGGCATTCTTTACTAGGAGCCTTCCCTATACCTCCATCCCGTACCCCTGTTGGTTTCTGTTGTTTCCTTTAGCAGACATTTCTGGCGTCCCTACTAAGTCCCGGGCATTGTTCTAGATGCTGGGGAAACGGCCGTGAAGGAAGGAAGAGTCCTAAGGGATGGGTAATGAATGTTTAGTAAAATGCCAGGGCGTGTTCGATGCCCTGAGGACAGACACTAGGAGGGGTGAGGGGAAGGGGACCGATGGGAGGGACGTCTGACCAGGGCCAGGTCCGTGAGGAGGGCTCCGCACTGGCAGGGCCCAATTGCCCTCTGAGGGAGGTTCTGCCACCGCCCCCGTTACAGGGAAGCCTGGGAGGGCACACAGGTGAGCGAGGTTCCCGGGGGCACGCAGAGCAGCAGGTGGAGGGGCCCCAGGCCGCCCTCGCACGTAGGCTCTCTGACTCCCTCCTCTCCCCTCTTGCCTTCCAGTGGACATTCTCATCATGGATGACGACGACGTCCCCAGCTGGCCCCCAACCAAGCTGTCCCCGCCCCAGTCGGCGCCCCCGGCTGGTCCCCCGCCCCGGCCGCGGCCGCCCGCCCCCTACATCTGCAACGAATGCGGCAAGAGCTTCAGCCACTGGTCCAAGCTGACGCGGCACCAGCGCACGCACACGGGCGAGCGGCCCAACGCTTGCAGCGACTGCGGCAAGACCTTCTCGCAGAGCTCGCACCTGGTGCAGCACCGGCGCATCCACACGGGCGAGAAGCCCTACGCCTGCTCCGAGTGCGGCAAGCGCTTCAGCTGGAGCTCCAACCTCATGCAGCACCAGCGCATCCACACGGGGGAGAAGCCCTACGCCTGCCCCGACTGCGGCCGCAGCTTCACGCAGAGCAAGAGCCTGGCCAAGCACCGGCGCTCGCACAGCGGCCTCAAGCCCTTCGTGTGCCCGCGCTGCGGCCGCGGCTTCAGCCAGCCCAAGAGCCTGGCGCGCCACCTGCGGCTGCACCCGGAGCTGTCGGGGCCTGGCGTGGCGGCCAAGGTGCTGGCGGCCAGCGTGCGCCGGGCCAAGGCACCCGAGGAGGCGGCGGCGGCGGACGGCGAGATCGCCATCCCGGTGGGCGACGGCGAGGGGATCATCGTGGTGGGCGCGCCGGGCGAGGGGGCCGCGGCGGCCGCAGCCATGGCGGGCACGGGGACCAAGGCGCCGGGACCCCGCTCGCGGCGCGCCCCGGCCCCCAAGCCGTATGTGTGCGTGGAGTGCGGGAAGGGCTTCGGGCACGGGGCCGGGCTTCTGGCCCACCAGCGCGCCCAGCACGGGGACGGGCTCGGGGCGGCGGGGGGCGAGGAGCCCGCGCACATCTGCGTGGAGTGCGGCGAGGGCTTCGTGCAGGGCGCGGCGCTGCGGAGACACAAGAAGGTCCACGCCGTGGGCGCTCCCTCCGTCTGCAGCCGCTGCGGACAGAGCTACTACCGGGCAGGCGGGGAGGACGACGACGACGACGAGGCGGCGGGCGGGCGGTGCAGCGAGTGCCGTGGCGGGGAGGGCCGGTAGGGGCGGGGGCCCGGGGGGGCGGGGCCCCTCGGGCTTGGCGGGGACGACGGCGCAGGACCCAGAGACCCGGGGAGAAACGGACAGAGGGCTGCCCCGGACCGGCGGCGCGCTCTACCCCCTCCCCTCCCGCGGCCTGTGCGGCCTGAGAGGTGCGGCGGGCCTGGGGCGGGACACTGGGGACGCTCACCGGGCCGCCCGGCCCCTCCCCGCGCCCGGCCCTCGGCCTGGCCTGACCCTTGTAGGTTCTCGGCCGAGCCCGAATCAAGACGTGTGAGAACTAGAGAGACCAAGATACGACAAAACCCACGAGCGAAAGACCATTTTCCCTCTTTCTCTTCCCCACCAACGGGGGGGTGTTGAGAAGATGGCGAACATTGGGACCTTTCCACTCGGAGGGGCCCCAGAGAGGGAAGGGAAAGAGGGGTCCTTTCCCCTTTTAGAATTTTCTTTATAATCATATCCCCTTCCTGACCCCGCCTACCTATTATTTTCTCTCTTCTTCGCGGGTCCCATCCTTTTTCCTCGCCCTAGTCCTTCCTCCCCCTCCTGGATGTGGGGTAGCAGAGAAGTGCTGGAGCGGAACTAGCCCCTGTCCCAGGCGCACCCCGCAGAAAACGGGTTCCCGTCTCATCCCATGCCTGGGCACGGTTGGAGGAGGGGTGCGGGGGGCAATAAATCGCACTATCCAATTGTCCCTGCTGTGCGTGGTTCTTGAGTTCGGGTAAACGGAGGGCTCCGCACCGGCCAGTTGCTGCTGAGGGGGTGAGAGGCTGCCGGCTCGGCCCGCACTCGCGCCCGGGTGCAGACTGGGCGGTTGTCCTGGAAGAGTGACCGGCCAGGTCACCTGCAGCGGGTTCTGGGCCCCAGCGGAGTGGCCGTCAAGTATCCAGGCTGGAGGATGGGCAGGCCTGTGAGGAACTGGGGCGGTTGTTCAGAGTAAGGCCCACCCACTGCTGCTTTTGAAAGGAATCTCACCGTCTGGAGGTGCAGGTGGGAGTTGCACAGGCTGTGCCTCACCTCACAGTGGAGGGCAGCCTCCCCCCACGCAGTAAATGAGCCCATGCTCCCGTCTGGGCGTCCTCCCCCAGCCCCTGCAGCCCCTTCCTGCATCCAGCTTCTTGGAAGACTTGGCCTGGACGTTGCACCTGTGTCCCCCTGCTCAGATCCCATCGGGGGAGCAGGGGACAGTCACGGGGTCACATGTCACTGCAGAGGAGGCTGGAAGTGTCCCTGGCCTGCCACTGCTTCCTAGCAACAAAACTATCCTAGAGGCGGGAGATGGACTCTGGTGGGTGGGTGGATACCTGCCTGCCCCCGGGGCCCCACTGGAGGAGCCAGCCAGGGGTCTGGCAGGAAGACAAGGGTGGGCAGTTGCTTTCTGGTGTTTCTTGTGTTCTAGGCGCTGTGCTACTTGCCAGATGGACCTGGTCCTGCAGCATCATCGCAGCAGTCCTGGGACATTGAGGACTGCTAGCAGGTCAGTCCTCAGGGTGGGGCCCAGTGATGCCAATTCCAGTGTCCTGGGACCCTCAGCTGGAGTCCTGGGGACCACATCCCCGGGATCTTCAGGGGGTATTTCCAGCCTGGCCAAAAGCCGTGGCTGGACTCAACGTTCCTTTTACCTCTGCAGAAAGAGAGAGGAGTTTACCAGTAGAAGGGGAGCTGAAGGAGGAAGGGGGGTTTCTACCTTGAGCCCTGAATCTCCCCCTGGTGCTTTGCTGCCCTTGAGCAGATCCTGCCCCCACCCACCTCAGGGCCTCAGGTTCTCACCTGGTGAACCAGGGGCTCAAAACCAAGGTCACGGATGGCCATCTGGTGGGCAGAGACGTGACTCCCCAGGAGGATATATTAGAACGTCTTGGGTGCGATCGTAGGTCAGAGAACCCTGTTCTCAAGTGGCCATCGCCTCGCTTGGAAGTTAGTTGAGGCAGTTCAGTTTGAGATCTCAGACCCCTCCAAAGGAGGGAGGGGTGACGCTGTTGTTTGTCCAGAGCGGGCTTGGGTAAACAAAGGCTGAGAACACATTGCCCATTGCCCGCAGTCCCTTCCCTCTCATCCAGCGCTGCCCTTGGGCGCTTCCGGAGGTGGGGGAGGGAGGGAGGGAGGGAGGAGTCGTGCCTGGTGGGTGGAAGGGATGTGCCCCGTCCCTTGGGTTGAAGTAAGGGCTTGGGTTGAGTCATTCTCTCCCTACCCCTGGGGCAAGAAAGATTCTGGGCCAGTTTCCACGGTGCCGCATATAGGCTGTGTGACTCTGGGCAAGTGAGCTAATCCCTCTCACCCTCGGCTTCCTCCTCTGTGCAGAGAAGATCTTGCCTGTCTCGACTGTCTCAAGGGATCCCTGGGAGTGTCTGTAAGTGCCTGGTCCTTGGTCACTGACAGCTAATTCCTGTCCCGGGAAGGAACCTAACGCAGGGGTGAGGAACCAGGGTTCAAATCCCTGTTCTGCCAGCAGGTGCCGCTTACCCTCTCCAGGCCTTGTATGCACTCACCTCCTGAAGGACATCTTGGTTGCTTCCAAGTTTTGGCAGCTATGAATAACGCAGCTATACCTTTGGGTCTACGAAACAGCTGTCCTCCTACGAGGGAAACAAGAAGTGGCCACACCCTCAGCATTACACGCCGATGTGGGCTTGCCAGGGAAGCAGTTCTGTCCCGCGGGGTGTGGCGGTGCTTCCGAGGGAGGCTTCTCTGTTGAACGTAGAGTGGCAGTTCTCGGGTGGCGGTGAGTGTGCCCCAAAGGTAGCGTCTGGCGATGTCTGGAGCCGTTTTTAGTTCTCAGGACCGGGGGTGGGTGGGTGCACCTGGCATCTAGTTGGTAAACGCCAGGGATGCTGCTCGATGCCCTACCGTGCACAGGAGAGCCCCCTTGCCCGCCACAAAGGATCATCCTGCCCCGAAGTTCGACAGTGCTGAGGATGAAACACCTGCCCTGGGGACGCGTGAGCCGTCCTTTCTGGATGACGCTCTACCGCCACCTAGTGAGCTCCAGGGGAGGTTCAAGGGAATGGCAGGGAGGTGGGTTGAGATCCTGCCCTCCCGGGGCTGCTGAATTCACTGAACTCACCAGTTGGGGAACTTCTACTCAGTGACCTCAGGTCAGGAATTCTGTGACTTGTAGCTTAGAGGATCAGACCTGACATGGCTTCACGCCACACACATCCCCAACATTACCCACCTGCAGAGTGTGAGGAGTGGGTAGAAGGGAGTGCCACACCACATGACATGGGGAAAGGATCCAGCTGGAGAAAATGACAATGCAAGAGCCCAGAGTCATCCAGGAGGCAGCATGTGCCCACCCTGGGTGCCCACCCCGCGGCCAGACGTACTAGGTCAGGGCGATGTCCCTGGATTTGCCAACGGTCGCCTTCCAGGAGATGTTCCCTGTCCTCTTGCTCTGCCTTCCGGGGGGCGCAAATATAAAAAGAAATGTGCATGCAACTATGTATCATATTTTAGACCCCACATATAAGTGATACCACATGGTATTTGTCTTTCTCCTTCTGATTTACTTCATTTAGTATGATAATCCATGTAGCTGCAAATGACATTATTTCATTCTTTCTTATGGCTGAGTAATATTCCAGTGTATACGTGTACCACATCTTTATCCTCTCCTCTGTTGATGGACAGTTACGTTGCTCCCTGTGTTGGCTATTGTTAATAGTGCTGCTATGAACATTGGGGTGCACATGTCTTTTCCAATTAGAGTTTTCTCTGGATTACTAATTGACTTTGTGACACCAGACAGACAAATGTCAACATCCATCGGCCTCTGTTTCCTTATCTGTAAAATAGGGAAACTATTACCTACCTCTTGGGGTTGGTTTGAGGGAGAGACTGTGGTAGACCAGTTGTTCTTTACTACACTAAGCAATAAATTCAGCTTTGTGTTTATATCTCAGAGGTTGAATGATAGTCACATCCCACTTTGAAATTCAGATATGTGCTTTAAAAAACCAGCAGACCTGTGTTATCAAAATTTGGGGGCACTTTTAAGGACCTAAGTCCTCCCTCCTCTGCTCTGGAATCACACCCACATTGATCAAAAAGGCCACCGGAGGGACTTCCCTGGCGGTGCAGTATTTAAGAATCTGCCTGTCAACGCAGGGGACATGGGTTCGATCTGTGGTCCAGGAATATCCCACATGCCGTGGAGCAACTAAGCCCATGCGCCACAACTACTGAGCCCACGTGCTGCAACTACTGAAGCCTGCACGCCTAGAGCCTGTGCTCTGCAGCGAGAGAAGCCACCACAATGAGAAGCCCGCACACCACAATGAAGAGTAGCCCCCGCTCGCCAGAAGAGAAACCCCACATGCAGCAATGAAGACCCAACGCAGCCAAAAAAAAAAGAAGGCCACTGGATGCTTTTTCCAAATGCTCAGTGTTTATTTGATTCTCTCTCCATGCCCTCTGGTAGGACAGACATTTCACAGATACTGAGGTCCTATGACACGAAGGTCACAAGCCTACCTCAGGCAAATGCAATGACCAAGTTAAAGTGGACACACAAGAATCACTACCTATGAGGGCTTTATGAGAATCAGAAATCATTATCCATCTTTGAAAAGGAACCCCTGGGCACAGCTGGACCCTAGAAAGTTCCTCCATCAGAGTGAGTGTGGGTGGGGAGGGTTTTTACGTCTTCAGCTTTTCCACCAGTACCGGTCATCTTCCGCAAAAGAATACCAACCGTCACCAATTACAATGTGCGGCTTGAGTCGCTCTAGCTCCTCCAGAAGCCTTCTTATTCGAGCAGGGTATTGCCATTTCCACAGCCTGGGGAGCAAGAAGGGGACTTACTACTCTGAGAATTTGCTTCTGACGCTTCTCCCTTCCTCAGAATTCCTGGACACCCCACCAAGGGTCTGAAACCTCCTCTTGCACTTTTTTTTTTTTTAATTTTTGGCCACACCACACGGCATGTGGGATATTAGTTCCCTGGCCAGATATCAAACCCCCATCCCCTGCACTGGAAGCACGGAGTCTTAATCACTGGATCGCCAGGGAAGTCCCTCCTCTTGTATTCTTGAGGAGAAACAGTGTGTTCCCCATAGAATGAAAGTCAGTCCCTCCTTGTAAAGGAACTCTTTACAAGGCAGACACTACACTGAGTTTTTACAGGCACCTGTCCCTCATAGCTATCTGAAGAGGCAGACATGGTTATTCATCCATTCAAGAACTCCTTCCTGAGAACTGACTTTGTGCCAGGTCCTGTTACAGGGTTTAGAGGCACAGTGATGAACAAGGCAAAATCCCCACCATCATGAAGCTTATATTCTGGGAGAGAGAAACAGGTATTCAAATAGACACATGGTATCGTCCCCATTTGACAGATAAGGAAACAGCCTCCTGAAAGGTCCATTAGTAAAATCTAGGTCTGCCTCTTCTCATCTTTACTGCTAAGTTCCCTAAATCACAAGCTTATCTCATCAGTGGCTACATTGCCTCGTGAGTCACCGACACAAATATGCCCCTTTTCAACACAGCCTTCTGCCTTTTCAGCTCACTCGCTGAAGTGATCGCTGAAACCGTTCTCTTTGGCTGCATCAAGATCTCCAAATCCACTGAGCCATGCTTTCCAAGCCACCCTCCCCCTCAGATTTCACACCACAGCCATCGTGTTCTTTCTGGTGACGTCCATCAGTCAAAACTTGACCCCTGGATAAATCCACCTGCTGTACGCTGGACCAC